TCGCTGCTTGACACAGCTGCGAGAGGTCCAGCTCGTCAGTGGGTCCCGCAGCTTTGTCTGTTTGATTTCTGGTTGATATACCGCTTTTTTAAACAATACTGATCTATATCGCAAACAAAAATTAATTTTTAAGGAAATTAAAAGGCTGAAGTTACAGTCGGCGTAATGTGTGCATGTTGAGTGGCCAAAAAGTGGGCTGGGAACCATTGTGCCTTCACCGGTGCTCTCAAGCACTCCAGCTCTGAAGTTGCCACCCTGCTTGCGCGAAAACTTGTTGTGTGGTGTGGGGGTGAGGCGGCACATCGTGTGGAGCGCACGCAGACGGGCTTCTGAATTCTGGCAACCGTCTGCGCTCAACCCCCGCATGAAATGACTAACCTGCTCGAACGCTGTACTTTTGCGCGAGAGGAGGAAGCGAGAGTGAGGTCGACTCTGGGGTAGGCGTCTCACGCCATTCAGCGCATACTCCTTACCATAGACAATTTGATACATTTTCAATTTATTACGGTGTATTAAATGCCGTGCCTGCATAAATCGGCCTATCGCAGGAGGTTAAGTGAGTTAAACCCTAGCGACTGCGATTTTCAGACCATGGTTCCTTAGGAGAGAAGAAGTCGGTGGAAGCTAGCGTAGTATGAATAGTTTATCATAGAAGGCAGAAGAACGTTCTCTGGGACCAGTATTTTATCTGTCCGACGTTTCGGACTCTCACTCGAGGCCATTGTCAAGGAATGAAAACGTACAGCTGACCGCTTGATTTTGTCAGCTCTGTTGAGGGTGGCCTTGAGTTCCTATTGTTCGCTCCACTGCGAGTGACCCTGAGCCCTGCCATTGCTCGCGCAACGTGAGATAGGCATCTGGGAGATCGATCGACCTATTAATAGAGTCCGCGTGCGAGTGCCATGCTTCTTGCAGTAGACGTAAGACTCGACCGTCCGAATGGCCTAGTATTCGCTCGTGTTTGAAGTCGAAGCCGTGCCCTGGTGAACATGCGTGGGCGGCGGAGCGAACAATGGGAACTCAAGGTCACCCCTGGCAGAACTGACATAATCACGCAGTGAGCTGTACGTTTTCATCCATTGACAATGGCCTCAAGTGAGAGTCCGAAACGTTGGACAAATAAAATACTGGTCCCTTAGAACGTTCTTCTGCCTTCTATTCAATTGCCTGGGCCTCGCATATTTTCGAGCATTGAGAATAGTTTATTATGTATACAGAGGAATGGATAATAAGCAAAAAGGAGTTTGCCTTCGGAGCGCACGGTTGGACCGCAGGCATCCCAGCGACCAGCCTGAGTGGTCATTGTCTGGTCGGCCTTGGAAGTTACTGGCCGGACAGACGGCATCGACCTAGGC